TCGTATGTTATAAAACCCAACGCCTTCCAGACGTTTGCCTATAAACACGCCTTTAGAACTAAGGCATTCTAAAAACGTCTTAAACGAAATTTCTAAAAGAAGTCTTCGAATCTCTTTTGAATACATGAACAATTATTCACTTTTAGGACTGGTTGTAAGAAATAGTGTGGTTCAGTTGTCCTTAAAATGTGAATTTAGGACATCTTATTATGGAAGTTTTTAGATGTTTTTTTTTTAGTCTTCAGACGTTCAGATGTAATGCAGAATGCAGACCTGAAAAAGACGTCTTTAAGGTGTGTTGTCTGAGTCTGGGTAGTTTCCTGCCCAAATGTTTTTTTTTGTCATATGTGTTTTTGCTCCCTCTCAACAAAAATATTTAGATTTTATTAAATTTATTGAATTTTTGTTCCATTAAATGTAGTTTTTCATTCTGCACAAAAAAAAAAAAAAACTTTTTTGAGTTTTTTTTTGAAAAATTCCATGTTGCCAAATGTAAAAAATGTCAATAACTTTTTCGTTTTCCAGCTAATGGTCTTGAAATTTCTTTCAATCTAGGTAACTATTGATTCTCCACAAAAAAGTTCTCTTGAGTTTTTTTGATATAATGCCTACTTTACGAAATATTTAATAAATTCCAAAAAAAATCAAGATGGCGGCCATTTTTTTCCAAGTTCCACCGACGCGACAAAATGCGATTTTTAAGGGATTAATTAGGACCCTATTGACTACTCATTTCCGTAGAGATCACTTTGTTACTAATTTTTCCTACCCCAACCACCTGTTACATCTCATTACCTATGTGGGAAAAATTTGTTAGGTGTTTGTCATTTTGAATTAATTGTAATTGTCATAGAATTATAAAAAGAATAAAAAAATAATGTTTAATTTGATGATACAGTCCACTTAATTTTCGATTGGTTGTTTTAATTCTGGAAGAAAAAGACACCATCGGCTAGGGAACAAAACATTGGTCCGCTTACGACCCGGATTTGTAGGTGCTTTTTGGCAGGCGACCCCTAATAATTGGTTATTGGAACAAAAATACTTGAATAAAGTTGAAGAATTAGAGATCGGCTCCTAGGTAGTGGATGGTACAGATAATAGCAGTTGGGTATTTTAGGGCTTCACAGGTACGGCTGTGGGTCACGGTAAGGAAAACAGGACGAGACAATTGTAAGTATGACCTTGTTTGGGCAATAATTTTATTGGTCTAAAAATACTTTTTTAATTTTGATATTTAATTTTGATTACCTAGCTAAAAAATGACAGATTATTCAAACTTTTCTTTGGCAGAATTAATTAGAAAACGAGGTATTATAAGATCCCAATTGACGCGATTAGAGAGCCATGTTTTAAATTTTGATAATAGTAAATTGGGACAAATTAAGGGAAGGGGTTGAGAAATGTGATGAGTGGTGGAGTGATTTTCAGAGCATTCAGTTTTGCATTGAAGAGTTGGATGCAGCGAATTTGGAGAGACAAGAGGCACAAAGGTTGTCATTCGAAGACGAGTTTTTTGATATAGTTTCCAAGCAAAGTTAATTTAGAGCACGAAGTGCAAAAGAATCTTCAAGGCCAATCACAACTCTCAACTTCAAATGTAGGACAAAGTAGCTTGGCATCTGGTGGCAAAGTACAATTAACTCCTATTAATATTCCTAAATTTGATGGGTCGTGTAAAGAATGGTTCGGTTTTAAAGAGTCATTTAATTCTATGATTGATGATAACAAACAACTGAACACTTTGCAAAAGTTTCATTATTTAAAAAATGCTCTGATTGGTCAGGCCGCCGGATTTATTAAGCAATATGCAAATTACGTCTAATAATTATGCAAATGCTTGGGACTTGTTAAAGGATTCTTATGAAAATGAGAAAATTATTACTTATAGCTTTACTTGATTTCCAATTAATCGAAAAAGAGTCACACGAGCAGTTGACTAGGTTTTAAATGAAATTAGAAAAAATATTCGGGTTTGAAGGCTCTAGGGCAAAACGTAGATTAATTGGGACACAATTCTGATCTTTAGTTTAGAAAAGAAATTAGATCCAGACAGTAAAAGAGCATGGAAAAGAGAAATAAAGTTGAACGAATTTCCTACTATGGACAAATTCTTGAATTTTCTATCGCATAGGTGCAAATTAATTCAGCCAGAAAATACAGAAAATAATACAGAGTTGCTGCGATTACAGGAAAAAAGGATGTCCAAAGGAAATACAGATTTTTCACATAAATTTTTGGGTAAAAAGGGCACATCTAGATCATTTTTTGTAGAAAACAACAAGTTGTCCGGTTTGCAAATCCAAGGAATTCCATCAATTATATCTCTGTAAGAAATTTTTGGGTTTAAATTTAGTGGGAAAGCGGGAGGCTGTGGAAAAATCAAAAGTTTGTTGGAATTGCTTAAAACCAGGACACAGAGTAAGTAATTGTACAGGGTGGGCCAATTTGGACACTTCCTTATGGAAACACCCTTTATTTTTAGAGATAGAAAAAAATGAACCTCCCACTCTGAGGCTCAAATTTCATGAAATTTTGATTGGTGCAAATCGCTTTTTGATATTTTCAACCGTTTAGTCGCTAGAGGGCGATTCTCGATTTTGTGCAATATTGTGAACCCTTCATAAGTTTTTTGTTTATGAATATAATTGATTTCCGTGAAAACTTTCTAGAAGCACTTTTTAAAACAGAATTCAGGGACGTTCTCAGTTTTTTTCTATTTGGCGCCGATTTTGAGGTATTGACTAAAGTCTGATTTTTTTCAATGGGACACCCTTTATATTAATAGCTCATTGAAGAGCTATGATTTTTCTGATTTTAATGATATAAAGTTCGATAGGTTTATCTCTAACTGTAGAATTAATAGCCAAGTTTTTTTTCAAGTTACACATGAAACAAAACATCAAAACACTATCAATTTTTTGACATATAAGCCTACATTATATTTTTTTTTATTTTGGTTTCATATCGAAGTCTTTTCGACACTAAAAGTAGTTTCGAAAAGAAGCTCTTTGTGACTTTGTGACTTTTTGAATTACATGTAATTTCAAAATTAACTTTCAGTTAACTCTCAAAGTAGTTTTATAATACCCGCCCTTAATTCTATATTTGGCATGTAATGTTACCAACCTAAACATGAAATCAGGAAATATGAGAATAAAATTTCCAAGAAAAATTTGTTTTTTTTTAATTAAACAATACCAGAATAGAAAAAATAGTATAAAATATTCGTTTCATAAGACATTTTATCGTACTCATCCTTTAAAAATCTCGCCTCCGGCTCGTTTTCTAATATAGGGTTCGTGCGATAAAGTCACGTCTTATGAAGCTTGTATTTTAATGTACTATTTTTAATTGGAACACCCGGTATATTATATGTGTGTTCGTTAGAGCATATTATTCTGATTACATAATGATATAACACACTTCATACTTTGTTCCACTCGTTTTTGACAAATCGGCAAAAATATATGAAATTTTTATATGCTCTCAATAATTTTCGTCCCAAATATCAGACCGCCGCCTAATAAGTTTCACTTCGAAAGTTTCATATTTTTGCCGATTTGTCAAAAACGAGTGGACCAAAATATGAAGTGTGCTATATCATTGTAATCAGAATAAGATAACACATATATAATATACAGGGTGTTCCATTTGAAAAAATATAATGTAGGCTTATATGTCAAAAAGTTGATAGTGTTTTATTTTACGTGTAATTTGAAAAAAAACTTGGTTACTAACCCTACATGTTGTTTTTTTGTTTACCTTGATAACTTCAAAAACAAAAAAGTTACAGGTGATCAAAATGATATCGAAGATAAAAGAACACCTGGTACAGGGGGATTAAAAAATAGGAAAATATGCAAGATTTTTTGGTAAAAGTAGAAAAAAAATGGCACATCACTATTTTTTTAAACCTTTGATATTTTTTTCAGATTAAGCAAGTCATATTTCAGTCAAAAGAAACCTTTCGTTATCACAAATCAACCTGCCAAATTAAAAAAAAAAAAAAAAAATGGAAAAATTTTTGAGCTGAAAAAACGATTTTTTCTAAAACTTTGACACCCTCTATCCCAGAAACTACGCATTTCTGGTCACATATTTATGGGAACTATTTTTGTTAAAATATCGTAAGGAATGACATCCTGAAGTTACGGACCGTACTTAGGAAATACCCTGTATATTTTTCTATTTTTTGACCACCCTGTACATGCTATTTCAACTTTTAATACATAGTTTTATATTATTTTTTCAAGAAGCAGAAACTCTTATAAAGGATAACTTTTTTTCGTAAAATTGACAATAAAAAAGTTTCCCATGTGCTGCGAACTTAAGTGGATACACACTGTATTTTATGAGAAAATTTCATGAATCAAAAATTCAAATTTTTTGTCAAAAAACCAGTTCTCGCATTAGTTACTATGCAATAATTTACACTAATATAAATTATCACGTAATTCCAATCTGATTGGTTCAAATCAACAATCAAAACATGTCAGTTTTGACAAATGTATGAAATTTCTCATCAAAAAAACGGCCACTAAAATCAAAAATCGACGTATCCGAGATTTTTTGAAAAAAAAATCAACCTTGTATTTTTGATGGATTTTATTCCTAACCTTCACGTACTAACTGTATTTAACTCATGCCAGGATTACGTTCGAAATTGAGTCTTATGGGCCTATTCTGTAACGTGTCGTTAGTAAACGATGTCGTTACGTAAACGACTTCGATTTTAACGACAATTTCAACGACAAATCGCCAGATCTTATTCTGTAGCATTATCGTTGAGTAGAAATCTAGTGACATATTTTAACGACATTTTTGGTGAGGTTGGTATCAAATCTATCAAAAAACGTATGTGTATTCTTGCTACAGCTTCTTTCGTACAACTAACATAACCTAACTTTTGAAACTGGTTTTTATTTAAAAAGTGAAGTGAAAGTGTGTGCTTTTATTATTTAATTTTATGGCAAATATTGTGATTACGGGATAGTGCAATGGCTTTGACCGAAAAAGGCAAAAGAGCAGGCAAGACCACTCGTGCACAATATCAGATATACCTTGATGAACTCCAGACAAATAATTTCTCAGAGAGTCAAAATTTGATGCCTCTGACCCAGATATTTTAAAAAGAACTTGGGAAGAATTATCTGTGAAATTGAATGCATCAGGGGGCCCAATTAGAGAGGTTGCTGGCTGGAAAAAGGGTTAGTTGTTGTGGTTAAATAGTGTGTATTGTATTGATGTGCTTGTTTTTAGGTTTTCACTGACTGGAGGAGCCAGGTACGAGGCAAGGCTCGAAAAATAAAATGTGCCATGGTAGAAACGGGTAACGCTGGAGATCCACCGAAATCATTGACAGATTTAGAAGAAAGACTACTAGAAATTACCGGGAAAGTTGTAGTTGATGGAATGAGTGGTGTTCCAGAAATTGGCCTTGGTATGTATATGTACTTTATATGATTTAATGCATTAATTCTTGACAATAATTGGAATTAACAGAAGTAATTGTCCCAAGTGATGAGGAAAGGGAGGTACCAGATGAAGACGGTAAGCAGTCGGTAGCCAAGGATAAAGAAAATATCCCCAGCTGCTCTTCTCAAATACCCAGAAGCATGAGCCACCCACCAAAAAACGTCGGACCCTCACGGAACTTTGAGGGACATGATGAGTCAACCTCTGGAAGATAAGAATATTTTGAAGCAGATATCCACAGACCTAAGGAAACTTCGAAAAATCGAAGCAGCAAAGTTAAAATTACGTGCAATGGAACTGGAAATACAGTACCCCCGACTATACATTTGTGGTTGAGTCATCAGACTCTGAATAATTGTACGAATTTAATAGAGTTCGTGTATTTTGTGTTCCAAAAAATAATTGTTAAGTTCCTGACCTACCAAAGAATAATTATTAGGTAATAATTAATAATAAACGTTCAAAAATACTTTATTGTCATTTCTATTATTTAATTTTTTTTAATTTTGAAAAAACTCATTAATTACTCGATTTCTAATCATATGGCCTCTGTTGAGTAATTGGTTGTCGTCAAGTTCTTCAGGATTCTCTTCATTTTCTGGATAAGGGTCATCTTCTACAAACAGGTCCGGGTCTACAGGTAAGTTATGCATTATAATAAAGTTGTGTAATATAGCACAGGCGTAGATGATCTTGGAAGTAAAGGAAGGTGTATAATGTAACACTCTATCAGAGTGCAAGCACCTCCACAACCGCCTTTCAAAACCCCATTGGTTCTTTCTATACAGTTGCGAATCTGTTGGTGCCTGGATGTGTACCTAGCTTCTGGACTGCCTAGTGGTGCATGAGGAATAGGAGTAAGTAAATAAGGTAGAAGGGGATAACCGGAGTCACCAAGTAAATAGGTATGCTGGTCTCCGGCAATAAAATTGCGATGCAGAAATGCGCGTATGCGACTCATTCGCCAAATCGCAGCATCGTGTACACTGCCAGGGAATTGAGCGTTAATGGACAAGATTTTTAAATTAACGTCGCACACTATTTGTGTATTAATACTATAAAATTGCTTCCTGTTGACAAAAACATGGGCAGGGTATCCCAGGTTGAGATAGCTGGGAGGAACTATCTTGACATGTGTGCAATCAACACAGCCTATAATCCCTGGGATATGAAATTTCTCAAAAAAAACCTTGCTTTACATTAGCAATTTCGACAGCATTTTGCGGGAAAACGAATGTATCGATTAGCCAAGTTATCCACCATCACATTCACCACCTCGTGTATAGATCTGCTAACGTTAGCCTGAGAAGAGGCATTTAAATGATCGCTTCCTACAGGCTTCTGGTAACTCCCGTGAGCCAAAAAAGCTAAAGTCGTAAAAAAACGCACTGTTGGGTGTGTTCTTGTATTTCTCTGTCCATTAGCCAAAAATGGAAGTAGTTCTTGAAATAAATGATGAGCTCCTTCTGGGTCCAACCTGTACAACTGCCTGAAAACTTCGTTAGGCACATTGAAGGGGTTACTTTTGTCTCTTAAATGACGAAGGTTGTTCCGGTGTTGCTCCCTAAAATATTATAATTACCCGTATTGTAAATAAAAATAGGTAGGAATAAGTAGGTACCTACCTCTTTTCTAGTTCATCTAGAACAAGGTTAAGGTCCATTTTAAAATTAGGAAACAACTTTTATTTAAGCAAAACACTTTATTATGATTGCGAAAAAAACTCACTTAACGACTTCTGTCTGGCCAACGACAGCTAGATAGGTGCCGTTCATAGACGACTATTTCAGACATTTTATCGGTAGTTAAACGACAATCGTTAACTTTACAGAATAACAAAAGTCGCCTATTAGCGATAGTCGCCTATGAACGACATCGTTACGGGTTACAGAATAGGCCCCTTATATACTGGTCAAGGGCCCGTGTGGGTAAACAATAAATATTAGATGCACTAGTCTTTCGCGTCATGTTTCGCAAAATTTATTAAATTAAAAATAAATACAGAACAACAATGCAGAAGGAACGCCTGTCTTTATTAACATTGATGTGCATAGAAAGAGACATTCTGAATGAAATAGAATTTACTGATGTTAGATGTCATACAAGAATTTGTTAGGTAAACAATTACCTACGAAAAATAGTTATTTATGCAACAAGTGTGTAAAGTGATAATCACATGAGTGAAAAAAGGTGCTTTACGCACGTATTGCATACAAATTTTTTTCTACTACCATTCATATATGTGTAAAAAAAGATATTTTGACATAATTTTGTAAAACATATATTATATCCTATTCACAATCCGTAGTCCAAAGGTAAAGGTAAATTTATCACATTTCCCTATCAAATAGCACACTGAAAGGTGATGGACATTGGCATGTGAATAGATAATAGAGGTATAGCAGGAATATAGTTTTCTTTTATATATATTTTTTTGCACTTCATTTACGAAGGGCCCCCTAAAACTTTACTAGCCCCGGGCCCCATGAACATAGGGGGCAATGGGGGCTTGAGCCCCCGTAGTGAATTTGCTAT